TGGAACCTACTTTGAAGCGCTTTATTTTTTTGTACATATACATTTTTTTTTAATCCAAGAAAAATTTTATGAGTTTCTGCTGAAGCATTTTTTTTAATTATAGATCCCAAGTTTTATAGAGAAAAAAATTATGCTGGTGTCCATGGATTTATGAACCTTTTTTTTGTCGAAGAAATAATGGAAATTTTTTTTCACACGTCGAAGCAGAGGCATAAAAATTTCCCGAAAATCTTTATTTCTTTTAATTAAGCGGTAATATGCATCAGAAAGAAAGGATTACATCAACTGCATAAAAACTTAGATATTCTTTCTAGAGATCCTTTTTCTAATACTTTTTCAAGCAAATATTTAACTTTCTTTACTGGACTGTTTATGTCTTATTCGGAGAAAGAAAACTTTTTTTTTATTCCTTTCGCATTGATTTTTAATACAACTTAAAGCCAGTTTTAATTACTTTGTGTTCGTTGAATATAGGTTTTTATTGCATCGACAAAGTTTTAATATGTATTTTATGACTTTATTTAAGAGGATTTTCAAACATAGAAGCTCATGCATTTTAATATTAGTTTCAATATAATATCTTTTATACTTCCATTTTTTCTGTGAATTTTTATGTGCGTTGTACGTACAGTTTCAAATATAGTCTTCGTTCAAATTATATTAAGAGTTAAATCAAAGTCTTTTATTCTTAATGTAAAATCTGAATAATTTATTAATATTCTTTAGTACGTAAAATTGAATTATTAAAGATGAAAATGATTTAATATTCCTTTCTTTACATGTTTTACACTAATTGTGTGATTTTGGAGTGTAAAATGTAATTTAGTAATATTAAAAAGTAGTATGGACTATTTACTTAAGAAATAAACTTTTTTTTTATATTTTAAGTTAATTTGATTATGAAAAATTTTAAAAAGGTTTAACTGTTCTTTATTTAAATATTTTTCTAAAATTGTTGCATTTTTATAACATACCAGTATGAGTAAACAGAAAGCAAAACAACAGTAAGTATCACTGTTAGAATTTTCTTTCTAAAATTACGGTACAACTACCGGCAGCAATCTGCCCCTCCAATTTCTCTTGAAGTTAATGGGTAGGAACATTTTTTTCCTACCTTTATGGATTTAAAACCATTTACAACTGGTATGCTTAAGAAAAACGTGAATACAAAATTGTATGGCTTTGTAATGATTTGCAACTAACATGGTTTCAAAACTGTAAAAATGACAATTAATTGGAGATTGGAGTTAAGTTATGTTAGGTAAGGCTTTTCGTTAAGTAATGGACATTAGAGTTAGATTGTGGTTCAATTGTATTTTGTCAAATGAACCTTGAAATATGGCTTAATTATTTTTTCTGATGGCGCCATCTATCGTAAGAGATGGGGACTACTAGACTTTTTTGTGTTAAGCAGCACTGTGCTGCTGTCATCTATGCGTCAATGAGAGCTTCGTTTTCCAACAGTTCAAGATCAACAGTATCAACTGTTGGTACAGGATGCTAGTACAGGATGTTGAGTACTGGACGCTAGAAACTCGTCTTGCGTTAAAAGAATGAAGGAATCATTGATTTTTCAACTCTGGGAGGGATTCGAACTCCCGTTTAGCCAGTCGTGAGATGTGCCTGCTGTAAGGAACTAAGTGATTTCCTAAGATGTTCTCCACAAACTTATTACTATTAGATTATTTAGCATAAGCTGCTGTATTAGTAATTCGATGATCGAAAATCAAATCAATTCGCTATCAATTATTCGTAAATATCAATTCGTAATCCTTATCACAGGGCAGAGCTTCCAGGTAGAAGAAGAACGTGTGCTCGATTGTCATTGGCTGTGGATCTCGTGACGTGGAAAAAACTCTGATTGCGCCTACCGTATTAGATGAAAACAGTCGAGAGATTTTCTGATGGTAAACAGTTTGAATACCGTTTCTTATGGTTACTTGACTGTGTAGGTTGAATTTGAGTTATATAATAATTGAATTTATTGTAATTAACGTATTCTTTTCGAGAAATTTCTAACAGCGTGTATCGCAAATGTCATATTGATGATTTGAATTTAAATTAAGGAATCACCAGTCACTATGGGTATTGGTACAGTAATAGCATATTTAGTAACAGCAATCTTAAACTGGATGTCCAAAATTTAAAAACTTTTAAGCGAATTGCATGCGGTAAACAGTTGAAATACCGTTTTTTATGGTTATTTGACTCTGTTGGTTGAATTTGGTTATATAATAATTGAATTTTTTGTAATTAACGTATTCTTTCCGAGAAATTTCTAACAGCGTGTATAGCAAATGTCATATTGAAGATTTGAATTTAAATTAAGGAATCACCAGTCACTATGGGTATTGGCACAGCAATAGCATATTTAGTAACTGCAATCTTAAACTGGATGTCTGAAATTTAACTTACAGTATAGTTTTCATAGCACATAGCGTTGTTGAAATACAAAGCTTCAGTTAAAATGTTTAGTTTAATTCATTTCCATGAAAATCTTTATTTATTTTTCATGAAAAATGAGACTTAATCTTAATGGTTTGAAAGGATTACCTCAAATATTCTAGTTAGTTAGTGCGAACAATAATTTTAAGTTACGAAATCAGGCACAAACACTTATTTTATCTGAATAAACACGCATATTTTTTTAGACGGAGTATGATTTCTGACCCCAAAAATATAGGAGTTAGCAGCAATGAGGGATTAGAAATATAGTTCCCTTAGTTTGGTTAGGAAAACAAAGGGAAGACAAAGATTGGACCCCTTAAATTTAATTTCCTTTTTTACGTATTTCGCCATATTTTGAAAAACTTTTAAGCGAATTGAAAGATTTTTGCATGCGATTATGAAATATCTTAATCCTAAAATAATTCCATGAAAAAATAATTTTTGATGATTATTGATTATTTTTGATTATTTTATTTATTATAGATCAAAAAATATTAAATTGTAATGTATACAAATTTTCATATAACTCTAAACAATGTAATTTTATATGGCAAATTACAAAATTTGAACAAAATCGGTGAAATAATTCCCGAAGAAGGGAAATTTAAATATCTGACTGTTGTCAAAATTCCACTTGGTAACTATTTTGCCGATCAATCTTGTTCAAATTTTGTAATTCGCCATGCAAAATTACATTATTTAAAATAATATAAAAAAAATTTTTGACCTTTAACATAAAAAAATAATAAATAATTATTAAAATTATTATTTGCTTGGAATAATTGGGTAATATCTTTGGATAAACGAATTTCCNAATTACATTATTTAAAATAATATAGAAATTTGTATACCTAACAATTCAAAAAAATTTTTGACCTTTAACATAAAAAAATAATAAATAATTATTAAAATTATTATTTGCTTGGAATAATTGGGTAATATCTTTGGATAAACGAATTTCCAATTTATGAGGGGGTGGATTTCAACTCGCCTGAAACATTCTGGAGATATGGAGAAATATGCAAAAATTAAAATTAGCATCAAGAGATTTAACCTTTGGACAAATTTCCTGACCAAATTATTGAGATCATATTACCAAGATTGTGAGTATCTCCAATATTTTTGTCTCAAGTATCAGAATCCGTTAAAAAAAATTTATGTAGACCGAGAAAGTACGTTTTTGTGTCTAGTTTTGTAACATAAAATATCGCAATCGCAAACTAATTTGTATTTTTAAAGTCCAGCCAGATTGATTACTAGTACGTGAAAATCCAATCATTGGATCAAAAGTTATTCATAGCGTTTCTTTTATTTTTATTTATTTATTTATATATTTTTGTGCACTACCCATTGAAAAATGCAAAAGACCAAATAAATTTTATTTACTTTTTGTTTTAAATACCAAATTATATTTCCCCTGTTTTGCTTTTTATAGTAGTTGTGAATATGTTCTTCAAATATTGTGGATGCTTCATTAATTTTGTTTTATTTTATTTCTTTTATTTTTTTTGCGCTCTGTAAATATTTCAAATTTGATACGAATTCGTGGAGAACTGCGAATTTGTATAAGGATTATACGAGTAAACTTCGGAAGGTATATGCGGGCTACGTCAAGTTAAGGTTTATTTAGTTTATGAAGATATCAAGCGTTCATTTCTGCTTCAATTAAATACTTTATTGAAACTTTTAATTCAATAAGACAATTTTATTCCACTGAGTTGATATTAATTAATCTAAGCTTCTTATCTATCTAGCCATTAGTTAACTTCGTCTAAACTATCCATTTTAATTACATCGATGACCGAATTTATTCATAAGAATTTGAAAGAATGAAAAGAAATGCGAATCGATTCAAATTTTAGAAATTTTAATTCATTTATTTAGTATATTTAAAGTATATTCATTGATAAATATATTCAAAGTTTAGCTTTGTGTGTATTTTATCATATATTTTTATAATAATCGTGACAGTTTTGTTCCAAACTAGTGTCCATTTTGCAGAAATAAGAAACAGCAATTATTTTCTCTTACTAAGCAAATGCGAAGTTCTGAATACGGTGAAGTTTTACATAATGGTGAACAATCATTTTTCTTATCATATCAATTTTTAGAGAATAGAAACTAATGAATTGATTCATATTTATTTAATTTCATAAAAGATACAACACCATAAATTTTACGCTATCTCGCTTAGAATAATTTGAAGAATTTAAGAAATTGCGGATTTTTTTTCCAATTTAAAAAATTTTCGAGACACCATGCGGAACACTTTTGAGGTAAACCTTTTAGTCAAGATGCAGGTATATTGTAAGTGGTTGAGATCTTTCTGTATCGTGCGTTTTCAGATTTAATTGATGATTTTTATGTTTGTAAAAAAATCTTAACTATCTCGGTTTCATCTTGTACGTAATGTCTCAAATTTCCTTCATGATTCTAATACAAGTTGCTAAATCTTTAATATCTGAATTTCATTCTGACATAATGCTTAAATTTATTTTATGATTCTAAAATACATTTTCGAATATTAATTTAATTCCTTTCCTGTTTTTCAGTTCCACCAAAGATTACATGGGTACAGATGATGGCATCGACGAACGAAACGCTCCTCTTTGGTTGGCGTCGGCCCAGCCATGACAATGGTGCAGAAATAACTAACTACATAGTCCAATTGAGCCAACATGAAAAAGTAGTCGCCAATGAGACTTTGAATGTTGCTGCACCCTCCGAGAGACAGAATTACATTTTTATATTTGTAGGATTAGAACCTGGAGAATGTTACGCCTTTCAGGTACAATTAAAATTTACGATGTCTCATTGCTTAAATCATACCGTACACTGCTAGAATTTTCATACTAAAATTATGGTAAAGTAACCAGCAGCAGTCTGTCCATCCAATTAACCGTATAGATTACAATAAAGAACATTTTTTGCCTTTACGATTTTGAAACCATTCATAACTAATATAGTTAAAAATAAAACGAATGCAAAAATACGCTGTTTTTTAGCCATTTATGACTTGCATGGTTTCAAAACCATAAAAAAGAAATTTAACTGGATATTAGAGGTAATTTGACAGATTTATGGTGATACCATCTAAGCGTGAATGAGAACATTATATTCTAACATCCCAGGGTCACAAATTGGGGACTGTGGGACACGGGGAACGCTTCATGTGTTGAAGAGAATGGAGAAATATTATGATGTCGACGCTGAGACTCGAACCACTGTTTTGTCAGCCATGAGATTAACAGAGTAACCCTCTCCACTATAATATGCACTATCCTGCAAGTAACTAAATGGCTTCATTAGGTGGGTCTTGTTAGCGTGATAAAATTCTAGTTGTTTAACCATATTTGGTGAAAGCAGTTAATAAACTGATTTTTTTCACAGTTCGTAGTTTGAATACCATCTTATTTGTGGTTATTTGATTGTTTTGTTTAAATAAAGTGAAATAACAATTAAATAAATTGTTATTTAAAACTTTTTTTCCGAGGAATTTCTAACAGTGTATACAAGGTTTAAAATGTCAACTATAACTACAGTAAAAATGACCCTCGCTGTGAAAATTGAGGACCGAGGAAGGATTTAAAGATATTCATGTATCTGCCATTTGATTCTGAAGAATGAAGAATCAAGGTCTATATGAAAACAAAATAAAATATAACAAACTTTCATTTTTTATAGTATTTACTCATCAATAGTATCCTTACTAGCTAACGCTTACTTTTGCATGCTAGGTCATTTGATGACGTGCTGATTAGTAAAGTAAGGCCCGTAACAACCCGATATGGGCCAGGGGGTCATAAAAGTTAATCCCTTAACGATTGGTTAATTTTCAATTAAACGGTCATAAAATTGCCTATTTTTGGCTTTTGTATTTGTATTACGCATTTGATTAGTGCTGAAATCTAGTTTAAAATAAACTATCTACAATTACCTTAAAAATATCCTGGTACTGCCATCTGGTGTGTAAAATGAGAAATAAAATGCTTCCCGGGGGCAAACGAAATGAATTATTTTATTCTTATTGGCGCGTTACTACTGAACACTCCAGCCCGTCAATATCATGGGAGCGAGAAATAGAGGGCGAAACCTCACCCCGTCATTTTCACGGGAGCGAGAAGGAAGGAGTTAATGCTCCACAATTTCATTAGCATTTTGGCGATCATGGTCTTGTAGATGCACAGCTGGCACTCTGATGACGGAAGGTCATAAAATTATAAAAGACGTACGACCTTTTCCGATTAATTATTTTTATTCGTTAATTTTTAAAATAATTATTTTAAAAAAGTGACTAATTATTACAGTTTACATTAAAAAACTCAATATATAATAATATCCATTTCCTAATTTTTCTGTAATTTAGAGGCTATTCTTAATGCTGGTGGCTTTTTAGCATTGTCAGATTATAATTATTATTGTCATGGAAATATAATTATTACAAGTCAATCATTTTGCCGTAAACAGATGCGGTGAGCATAATTTTGAACCACAGCGAAATTCCCCAAGATTGCAACAAAACATTAACTTTAAATATTATAATATGAATATTTCAATGTTATTGGTTATTGCAATTATAAACAATCCCTTTTAATAATTAATTTAAAATGAAATTGAAAAATCAGTATATTAATGAATGTAAAAATTGTTTCGAATAAAATATTTTGCGCCGAACTAATGAATTAAATATTCAAACTTAATCTTTACTTGATTTATATATTGGAACGAGATATTTCTTTTTTTAACAATTAACTGGATGTAATAATAGTGCCTCTGATTATTTTTGAGCATTCTTTCCACAATAATCCATAATCTTTGCTTTCATTTTCATTTAATAGATTAAATGCATTTATTCCTATTACTTACAGAAATACACCTGGATGTGACATTTCTGCTACTAATTTCAAGAGAGAAAAATAATCGATGGCTTTTAGATTGCTCATTTTATACGGCGGCATTTATTCTCCTAGAGTCGCTCCATTCTTCGAAAGTTTCTTTAGAAATAAGCTATCAATGCCTCCCTTACTTTTTTTTTCTTTGCCCGCTGAATAAAAATAATTTAGTCTATTCAAAACAACCCATTTATAATACCCAAAGCAGTAGTTTACGCTGAAAGATTCATTTTATTTATGGTGCGTTTTTTATCCCCTCTTTTGCGATTCACAAAAGAATCGGGGGGAAAAAACACTCCACAAAAAAGAAATGCTTCTTTTTTAAGGAAATAATTCTCTCTAACCCTATTTTAAAACTGAAGATAATTAGCTCCATTGCCATTTTTATTTCGATTCTCACAGCTTGTGACTCCCTTTCCGTACTAAAGAGAAATATTAAAAAGATTTCTTTAGAATCGTTTTTAACCAACTAACAGGAAGCAATTTTGAAGATTATCTTGAAATGCGAACCATGGTTAAGTGGCTATAAAGTATATAAGTTGAAACATTTTTAAACAGTGATTCTTTTAATAGATCTTTTTTTTTCCTCCGTAATATCTGGAATTATGAAAGGTAAATAGATTGTTAATGAAATTTTTATCTTTCCAATGTATTTCTTTTTGTTAGTTGTTTTGGTTTTTTGAAAACTGATTAATGCTACGGTGTTTGTTTGTTTTTTTCGAATAAAGTACACAGCAGAGCCGCATTTTGTTTTTATTAACATGAAGCAAGAGGGAGAATTTTGTTTCAATGTGATTTTTTTTATTGAATCATTGTATTGAGAAATATTATCGCTAATAAAGCTGTCAAAACTTTTTTTTTCGACTTCGGGTTACACTTTCATTAGATATTGAAGTTTTTGTTTGAAAAAATGTAATTAGTTATTTTTAAAGATATAAAAGAAAAATGTGGTTCAAAAGTTTTTTAATAGAACGTTTATTTTTTTAAGGTGCAAATGCTCGTCCGATAAAGAAAGAAACAAAATATTTCTAAATTTAACAGGCGTTAATCTCAATTTCTTAAATTTTAATTTGATTTATTTTTAATTTATTTAAGATTTTTATTATTATTATTATTTTGCACTTGAATGATAATGGTTGTCCTTGATTCAGCTAAATTTTCAAGTAAGCATATTTAATAACCAACATGGTGTAACAGACTTAGTATAGAAGACTAGATGTTAAAATTATGTAAAGAGTTAACCTTATGAACACGATATTGAGTGAAGTAAAATATGAGTATTATTGAATAAAATGTGGACAAAATTTCAGCAAAGAGCTTTGAAATAAATTGTAAAATATTGCATTAATATTATTAGATTATAATCGAGCTGTACGAAATTGTTTAACATATTGCTTAGATTATTTTGCTTAGATTTATGCCTACATTATAAGGAAGGCGGCTCGCGAGATAGTATTACATCTCATAAAAATATATTTTAGCATCTTCATTTTTCTTGTTTTTACTGAAAAACTTACTATTTCTAGAGATTTAAATCGCAGTATCTGCCTACACAAGTCGGTTTATTGTTCTGATTGAAAATTCAGCAGAGTAAGCTGCATCAACAGCATTGCTATGAAAAGTTTTCCAAAAAAACACTTAATTTTTCTAAGGTTTCCTTAATGTTAACAAAATAAATATCACTGCTTAGAAAAAAGGCACTTTCAATGATTGCGAATAAGTTTTTTCAAATTTTATAAAAAATGCCTGATCAGTAGTCACAAAAAATATGTATATGTATATATACGATTT